GCTGCCCTTTGTCCGTTATTGCCTCATCTGGTTTTCTGCTCCAGAATCCTGCAGTTGTACCATGTCATCAAGTTGTCTCTCTACAGCAACACTACGAACGAACGCCCTCCAAGGTATCCTGCCCTTGACAGCCCTGCCCCGTTCTTGTAACTCAAGGCACAGCCTTCCTTCATGGAATTGATCCATTTCAGATCTGGTCTGCCCCTTCTTCTTTTGCCTTCAACCTTCCCTAGAGTGATTCTATTCTCCAGAGCGTCTTGCTGCTGTACATCAAGCGCATCACGAGAGCCTTTTTTGTCATTCTTGCTTGCAGGGCAAGTTCTGGCTTGATTTGATCTAGGAACCACTTGCTTGTCTTTCTGTTGGCCCAGGGCAACTGCAAAGCATCATGTGTCAAAGGCACCCATTTTCTTCCTGTCAGCTTCCTCAATTGCCCACCTTTCACACCCAGGCATGGCGGTTGGGAATCCATCAGTGTGGATGATCTTGGCTTTGTCTCCAGTGAAACATCCTTACGTACTCCAGTCACACACCCTTTTCCCCCAGTCTAAACTCCAAGACTAATTTGCGGATAATACATTCTAAACTTAAAGTTGACCATGATTCTTTAAATAAAAAATATCCTCTGTAGGAGGAAATTCTCCCTGCCCACTGCAGGGCACCAGTCTCCCAAGGCATGTCCATATAGAAGAAAATACCACTAGCTTCTATCTCCCATGCTATTTAATATCAAGTACTTCATAGTACACTCTATTATTCTTATTTTAGCCAAGCCAGCTCACACATGCTTATTAAAGACGGAGGAAAACGCAGACGCACACAGAAATGAAGCATTATGTCCTGTGAGATGTTAATATTCTAGACTCTAGAAGAACTCGATCGGCTCAGACTCAGAGCTGCCATGAAGGGCAGGGGGGAAGACTGGGCAGTGCCGGGGCCACACGCTGGCAGGGGTCCACCGACAAGAGCCAGCCCCGCCCCCTCCTCGGGACTTCCTCCTCGCCCAGGCGACTTCCTTGCTCAGCCGCTGCTTGCTCTGGCCCAGACAAGGGTGCTGCTGAGAGGGAGGTGGAGATCCCACAGCCAACTTGCTCACAGGCTCCCTGCCTGGCAGGCAAACGAGTGGTGGCCATGTTAGAAGCCAGAGCAGCTGGTGGTCAGGGCAGGGAGAAGGTCCACTCTCTGAAGGAGCACCCAGGGGCCCTCCCAAGCCTGGAGCCACCACTGAACAAACAAAAGGTCTAGCAGGCAGCTAGATGCCCACAGCAAGGACGTGGTCACCTTCTCCGTGCTGGAGGCGATATCCAGCCATTACCGCCTAAGTTAAGAAGCTTCCGGGCCCAATGCTCCGGCCTCCTGATGCTCTGAGGAGAGAGGACATGGAACCATTTGGCGCCCCGGCCCTGACATGTTGTGACCTTGGAGCCGGGACACCAAAAGCCAAGCCTCTGCTCCACTCTGCCCGCACTGCGCTGGCTGGCTCTCCCGGGCCACAGCTGGGCCTCAGAGAGGTGGGAAGGGGCCTTCTGCAAAGGAGGGGCATCTTGCGCTCTGTCCCACTGGTGCCCCAGCCTGCTTCCTCCCCGGTGCGCCATCAGAGGCTCAGGTCCATCTGCAGTGAAGGGCACTGGATTGCACCCTTACAGTGCAATCCCTGTCCCCGTCCTCTTTGAAAGGAGTGTGGTGGAGACGAATGGGATTTAGGTGAGGACTGACAACCTGTTTTAAAAAGCGACAAAAACACCTCCTGGTATGGGACTTTTGAAAGACTTTGCTACCTGAAAACATGGCCATGTAACAAAGGAAAAAAATGATCAAGGGAAACCCAACAGTGCCATCAAGTGGAGAGATGCGGAACTGGCTGCAGTGCTTGCCAGAGCGTCTGCCCTTCCAGCAGTGACATTTGCAAAAGCAATCAATATCTCATTATTGGCTATAATCACTAGCCAGCGGTTTGGATTTTTGTGGAAACAAACCTCTGTGTGAAATGAACACGCTCTTTTTCTTTCTTTCTTTTTTTTTTTGGTCACCTTGTGTGCCAGGCAGACGCCGTGTCCTAAAAGTCAAAATCATTATTGGCAGGAATATTATGCACATTTTTTTAAAAAACCCACACCCCCCCAAGGTTAGGGTGACTGAAGGAGCATCTTTTTCATCTTCAGCTAAAGATGGGAAGGAATTTCTGAAAAGAATGTGCACGCGCGCACACACAAAAAACCCTAATTCAAAACCTTCCACTGAAACTGGTGACCTTTCGCTAACTGCTGGAAGGTAAAGGCTTGATAAATAAGTAAATAGGTCACCGTTGGGGGTTTTTGCTTACAACCTTTTAATTAAAATACTCCAGCTCCTGTGAGGTTGCCATGAATGACAGAGTCCCAACTACAAAGAACTCTTTGGGGGTCGGGGGGACAAGACTGAACTCATGGGGCTTCCTTCTAAGGTTCCTTTCCCTTCTTATGCTGAGAAGGATACTTGCCTATCACAGGGTGTATTCAGAAGGTGAGCCTCCTGGCCTCCCCCTTTTTCGAGCCAACTGAAGAAATGGAAACCGAGCTCCCTCAGCAGCTATTCTACCAAGATCTTTGGTACAGAGGTCAGCCAACTTAGATTCCAACAAGCTATTTCTAGCTTTGGAATCCATCTTCAAAATTAAAGGGGGTGGGGAAGGGAAGCAGCCCGCCCCCCACAGGCCTCCCACATCTCTGCCACTGCAGCACAGCCAACAATCTCCGTTCAGCAGCAGCAGGGCCTGACCCCTGCCAACTCATTTAGCCTGGCTGCCCACTTAAGCATTTCAAATATTTCAGTTAATGGGGCCATATTACTGGCTATGGAGAGCACCCTCACTCTGCTCTCCCTGCTGGCCGCAGGCCTGATGGCTGCAGCTCCTCTGGAGAGGTGGCATCTCATCAAGCTGAGCCACAACCAGAAAACCGGCAGCCAAGGTGATGGGTCTGAGCTTGCGCAACTTACTCCTGTGCAGTTTTCCTTCCGAGTCCATTTTAATTTTAGAAACAAGTGTTTACTCAGCGGCAGTCTCGGGAGTCCAACTGCTGGGGGAAAAAGATGGAGGTGGGAGCACTTCCTTAACACAAGGTTGCGGATCCGCAGGCCCTGGGTTCCACTGTGGTCCTCAGGGGCTCCTCAGACGGACGCACCTCCTTCCGCTAAACACCAGTCACTTGGTGGGTGCCCAGCTTTTCTGCAATTTTTGACCCCCGTTGAAACAGCTCTCCTCCATCTTGAACATTAGGAGCTTTAAGCTAAAATATGTGGATTTGGGGCCCTGTTTTCGCCTTCGGTTCCACCTATCAGTGGCATGCAGCCCCTGAGAACCTTTCTGAAATGGAATGTTTTGCTTCAGGATGAAAGAGTTTCAACGGTCCTGTCTTAATGCCATCATCTGGGCACCATGTACAATTAGAGATGACTCGCCATGACTACTCCACAAGTGTAAGACTTTTCCAGGAAATGTACAAAAGCTGATTAATTTCCCAAAGACATGGTTAAGCTTTTCCTTCTGGTAATCAGGTTTTCAGACAGCAGGGAGGTGCTTGTTCGTGTATAAATTCACTGATTATCAGGGAGTCAGGCTGGCCATTAGATAAACAGCACCACCTACCAAACCACACAGCTGAGCAAACCTATCATTAGGACAGTTAAATAAACTTTCAAGTTCCATGGAACTCTCCATACAGAAATTAAGCTGAAACGTGAGGTGGGGGGGGCAGGAGGAAGCATTGCTGTTGGAAGAAACCCCCATAAGCTTCCAAAAACTTAAAATGGACTAGGTGAGACAGCAGCAATTGTATGCTGCCTACTTAGAAATAAGTACCAAATGAGTTCAAAGGGGCTTATGCCAAGGTAAGGGTGCACATAATTACTGTATTTTTTGCTCTGTAAGATGCACTTTTCCCCCCCTCAAAAGGGGAAATGTCCGTGCGTCTTATAGAGCGAATGTGTGTGTGCAGTAAGTCAGATGTGCAGCCCATGGGGAAGTGATTGGGAATGTGCCTGTGCTTATGTGCCCATCTGATTCAGAATATTTTTGTTCTTGTTTTCCTCCTCTAAAAACTAGGTGTGTCTTATGGTCAGGCACGTCTTGTAGAGCGAAAAATACGGTAGGTTAGATCAGCCTTCTCTAACCTGGTGCCCTCTAGATGCTTAGGTCCCCAACTCCAAGCAATCTGAGTCAATATGCCTAATGCTTAGAAATTCTGGGAACTGGGACACGAACCATCTGATGGGCACTAGGCTGGGAAAGGCTGGGTTAGCCAAGTTTGGTGCATAAAAACTCTCAACCTTGACTTAAAGGGTGCAAGGGCAGAGAAACAGGGCTGGTCTCACTTGGAAAAATACCAGCAGTTATTTGGTTCTGGTTTTATCTTCCCTGTTAATGCCCTGCTTCCTGGCCCATTTGCTTTTAACTTGGTTGTCCTTAACTTTATGCAAAGCCTTTGAAGAGACAAGTTGCAAGAAATAAGTACTCACTGACTTGTGGAAAGAAGAGCAGCAAGCTGTTAAACTTGCACCAAACTGGACCTGCTGTGCTGCCAATTCAGCTGGATTTCAAGTTATTCTAAGGGCAATGTTCACCTGGTGGTTCATCTTCACCAGAAGCTGGCTTGAGAGACTGTCACTAGCTTAAGGGCACCTGCTGAGCTTTATGACTGAGCAGTTGCGCTGAGCCTGTCTTGTATCGCTTGGCCCTCACGGAACTGCCAGCTCTGCCCTTACTAGAGCTCATGAAAAGGAGGACAATAAAAAGAAGAGCTGGCTGCAAACTAAACTTCAGGCTGAACTCTCTTGAAATGAACTGCCGACATACTTGCATCCCAATCCTACGCACAGCTATTCAGAAGTCGGCCCCATTCAGTTCAGTGGGACTATCCCCCGAGTGACTGTGCACAGGATTGCGGCCTCCGTGACTGGCCTGTTCCACAAGCTGTTTATCTCCTCCATCATTGAAAGCTGAAATGTCCGTGGCAAGAAACAGATCTGAAGGAAGTTTTTAATTCTTGGATGCATCACTATTAACATGTACTTCAGTGTGTAGAACTGCCTCCAAGCCAAAGCATGCCTGAGTGTATAGTTCTCAATCCTTCCACGACAAGTAGGAAATACGAGATGGACGGTGTTGGCAATGTTTTGTTTTTTGCAAGCATCTCTCAGTTCAGAGGGTGACAAGCCATGGACTAGGCATTCAGTGCTTTAAAACGAAGGCTGAGTAATGCACAGTCTTTAGGATGGCAAGGGTCCTTCATTTGTCTCTCCTATGGGACTGGACTTCTCTTCTGGCACAGGGTCAACCATCTCCTCCAGGATCCCGTGGAACTTCATTTGCAACGCAGGGTTCAGGGGCTGGGCTTCTGGATGAGCCCTTTTTGTTACCTGTAGGTCAGAAGCAAATGAGTTGCCCTGGTACGTAAGAGTGAAGCCAAGGGGAGGATCAGAGTCAGCTTAGCTCCAGATCTTTATGAAGGCGCTGGAGCAAATTCCCCCGTCTCCTCTATACCCCACAGGCCACTTAAGCAAGGCCAATCCTGACGATTCACAGAATTAAGAATTCACTTTTAAGAAGTTTCACCCCCCTCCACCAACCCCACTGAGGTCCTGACCTGACTCTCAGGCACTGGCCCTGCTATCTGTGTTGAAAGGAAAGCTCTGTTTATGTCAAGGGAAGCTTATTTCTTCCAGTGTCTGGTTTAATTCTTAGTCCACAGGCCGACTGAAAGGCTAATGCTGGGATATTTTTTTGAGAGGTTTTTCAAAACCTGGCTTTAACACCTGATTGTAATGCTCACCATGCTACCAACAGCCCCCCCCCCCCTTCCTTCCACCTGTACTTATAACTGTACTGTTGGCCTGTTTTTAATGTTGTTAGCCACTTAGAGAGCGCTTGGAAGGCTATTCAGCGGCCCATACACTTGAAAATAAATTAAATAAATGTCAGTCCCTGTGCTGCTCCAAAGAACATGCCCCCTTCCCCTTACACCACGTCAGAGAACTGGTTCATCTGGTCTAGTATTGTAGACATTCACCGGTAGCGACAACACCGTGGAGTTCCAGGCCAGAGGTTTTTCTGCTCTACCTGGAACCAGATCTGGGGCCTTCAACATGCAAAGCGGGGGCACGACGAGTCACCCATGGCCACTTCCCTGAACATGCATTGTGGCAAAGAGGTCCCTGTGGCAAGCGGCAGCTGCTTCCATTGCAGAACAGGGCATTAACAGGAACGTGTGTGGAACAACGCAAGCAAACCAGTGCCCCATTCATGTTTGAAAAAGGAAAGGACTGGAGATACTGGGCTGTTCTCCTAAGAATGCGAGGTGGCCAAGGAGGCTTTTATTAAAGTCAGTGGTCCAACGCAAGATAATACTGCCAGTTAGCTGCAACAAGGCAGCTTTCCCCAACCTGGTGCCCTCCAGATGTTTTGGACGGCCATGCTCAGCATTCTTTAATGCCTACGCTGGCTGGGGCTGATGGAAGCTGCAATCCAAACAGCCTAGAGGAAGCTGTAATAAAGAACTGTCATGGGGGAGAGGTTTATGGCTGTATTTGCATCAACCACAAAATTGTTGACTAGCAAGGCCTACGGTTTCACTGAGGTTTCGGGGTTTCAGACAAGCTGATCTTGAGAGTGGCTTCATCACAAACAAGGAGCTTTCACTCCACAGAAGAGGGTTCGGAACCAAGCTGAAGAGAAGCCGCGCTGCACGCTTGCCGACAGGCGCAAGCTGTGTTCAGCCATGCACAGAGCACTTGAGAATGGATTTTCTCTCTCACTGTACATTGTTATGCACACAGGTTAAGCCCAACGGATTAAAGGATGAGAAAGGAGGCTAGAGAAAATCAGCATGGCCTTGTCTCACCAATAGGTAAAGCAAGGAAAAATTATATACAACCAAATCCAGCAGATAGCTTATATAATGAGCAAACAGACCCTGTGTATTGCTCCGAGGCAAGCCTGACTGGTTTCAGTGGTACTTACTCCCAAAAAAGCACATACAGGATCGCAGCCTTACACTATTAAGAAATAATTTTATCTTTGTCATTACTCTCTCTACTTACATCAGGACTATTTCAAGGATTACGGTGTAAATTTATTCTTTGACCTAAAGCCCCGTTATTGATCAGCTTACACGGGAAGATAATTAATCTCCGCTCGTCACTTTTAGGCATACCAACTCTGGTATTAACACAAACACATACAAATGAAGCTTTGCTGAAAATACTATCTTATGTGGAGGCTAAATTGTTTCCGTGTATTTCTTTACTGAGCTTTCATCCCATGTTTTATCGGGCAATAATTGTCTCCCTAAGTGGCTCATTTCAATCGAGAGAGAGGGACAAGTCTCGCTATCAGCTTTACAAATGAAAAGGACAAAAAACACAGGAGACAGGGAGTGCAGGGGAAAGGAAGAGGAGGGAGAGCAGGTTTTCAAAGCCAGAATAAGGTGGTGGGCTCTAAGCAGGCATTTAAAGGCGCTTTGGGCCAGCCTGATCTTCCCCTGCTGGTGCTCCTGCTTGGACGGCAACTGATGGCTCTTGTTCCTTCCATTTGCAATCTTCAGATCTATCGGCAGCTGGGGCTGAGTGTTCTTTCTAGCAGGGAGAGGGAAGCAAGAACCCTGCAGCTGCTCCTACTCAGCTGATGGATCCACTAGGCTGGTATCCTATTCGCCTCAATGTCATTCCGGGAGAGCCAGTATGGTGTCGTGGTTAAGAGTGCAGGACTGGGACTCAGGCAGTCTGGGTTCTAGTCCCCACTCAGCCCTGGAGCCAACTGGGGGAGACTTTGCACCAGTCACAGACTCTCAGCCCAACCTACCCCACAGGGTTTTCGTTGCTGTTTGAGAGCAGGGGGAAGGAAATGATGAAAGCTGCTTTAAGTTCTTTAAACGAGAGGTGGTTGAAGTCCCAACAGTGAGGGTGTTTAAGGATAGGCTGGACATGCACATGGTGGGCATGTCATGAGTGCAGCCGGCTGGAGCCGGGGGGTCAGACTAGATAGCCCAGGAGGTCCCTTCTGACTAGCTCTGTTTCTATGTTTAATAAATAAATAAATTCCTGGGATGCAGAGAGTGCAGCCTCGCAGTGGCCCCTGGTCCCAGCTGAAGGCAGAAGCCAGCATGTTTGCCCCCATCCCACACAGGCACTGAGTCTTTTCTACCGTAGCCCTAGGGCTTTGGCAAGCCCTTTTGTAGGAGATCTGCACAGATACGTTTTTACTCTCTACAAACTTCTGTTCTGTTATAATGTTGGGCATGTGAATTTACTTAGGCATTCTTCTCTTCTGCTATTTACTGAATCTCTGGCTTAATTGCAACCAAGTATTTCTTTTACAACGTGTCTATGATTGTATTAAGAGACTCCTCCAATGCCTTCCATTTCTGGGTCATGCACCCATTGAACTGCCCTTCGGCACTGTTGGACTTCAATTCCCATGACCTGCAAGCCAGCATGGTCGCTGCAAACCAACCCACCTACAGAATGCCCAGCTGAAGACGCCTGCTGTAGAGCAGCTCGCGTAATACTTACAGGTCCTGTCGCTCTTCTTCGTAAAAGAAGCCCTTCTGCCAGGAGCGCTTTCCCTGTTTCTTCAAACAGTCTGTCTTCGCTCACTTTCCCTTGCTTCTGCAGTTCATAGTATTTCTCAACAAACCTAGAATTCAAGTCATGCATGAACAGCAAGCAAAGGAAAAATAATTCCTATGATTTAACTGAAGCTTTAGAAGAGAATCCTCACGTTGGATTTTGTTCACTTACCTTTGGCAGGTGGATTTAAAGTTTAATCTGGAGAGTTCAAACGGTCTTGGAGTGTTTCCGTAAGTTTCATAAAATTTCCTAATGGACAAAACAAGGTGTTTCAGGTGAAGACTGATTTGTATGTCAGACAGTATTGGCAGCAAAAATTTTACAGCCTCTGATAAAAGGGCAAAGGCATTTTCAGAATCTGAATTCAGTTTCTGTAGACTCAGAAAGAAAGGCATGAAGTTAGCCTACATTCATAAAACCCCAGGTTTTATAACAATACCTTAGACTTATCCCTGTTTCCCACGACAGCCTCCAAGGTCAACCAAGGTAACACCTGGCAGCTACAGGTAAAGCCAACAGGTCAGTGGCACAGCTTCCTGTCTGAGTGTGAAAGTCAATCCAAGTCCCCCTAAGCTTAACCCAAAACCATCCAGTGCGCTACACCTACTTGCAGTAGGATCAACAACCAGTGGCCCTACCTACCGCTTCAAGTGGCTCACAGACTGATTTCTAAAGCCCCCTGCATACAATCAGCTTAGACTGGCAAGAACAATCTGTCCCTTCCTTTTTCTGTCCTTCCGTATGGACAGGGAAAAAAAATGGGTAACTGAGAAAAGGGGAAAGTCACCCACTCTTAGCTGTGGTCCTAAACACCGCTGGGCTGGATGACCCAGTGGCCTGCATCACTGCAAGGCGTGCGCAAATCAGCGCAAGCCTGTTCCTGAGCCACGAGGACATCAGACTGCAGAAATGAGCACACTGATACCCAGAAAGTGCTGCAGTTCTCATCCCTGAACAATGCCTTGTAGATTCACTTATGCCATGCTTGGTTCTTATTTTATCTTGTCCTCACAGCACAAGAGGGTAGGGTTGGCTGGCAGAGATCTAGATGAAATGTGTGGGTGTGTATTGAAGTCTGCGCTATTACCCTGTTTAGCAGATTCTGGCAAGAAAAGGCACAGCCACCACCTTCCTCCAAATGCTTGCACTCGCTTCAAACAAATATGCCTCAATTCCCTGAGCCCCATTTCCTGCTCATACGCAGAGGATGAACAGTCAGATTATGCAGTCCTGTTCCAAGGAATACTTGGAATTCCTGTGGACACCTCAGTTAACACCAGGTGTTTGGTCTGACAAGTCAAGCTGAAAGAGGCAAATGTTTCTGCGCCAAACGACAGCTTCCCACACAAGCAGCTCAGTTCAAGGGGCCATGCAGCTCTGCAGCCAAGGAAGCCATGACTTGCTCAGGATTAAAAGGGAAAGACATCAGCAACCAACGAGTCTGTCTTCCACTGCTCTTAGTAACCTACCTTTGCATACCAAGTCAGAATATTTGCCCCACTAGTCCCCTGTTTTCTACTCTGAGCAGGTAACAGCTCTCCATCTTCTCATGCACAGGCCTTTTCCAACACCGGCTCCTTTGGACCGGAAAGGCTAGCTGGAAGTTTCCGCATGCAGAAGCAGCTCTATGCTTAAGCTACGGCCCCTTCTTTAGACTAAAAAATTTATTTATTTAAAACTTTTGTATGCCGTCCCTTATGCATGGCATCTCAGGTCGGCTTACAATCATAAAATATATGGCTTCCTACTTCAGAAAAAGTACACGTTCCACACGTGACAATAACAGAAAGCAGCACTAAATCCAGCAGGCAAGCCAAGAGGCTGCTAAGAGGCAGAAACCACCTCCAAGCCTTTAAGTTAGGGCATCAAAGCACATACAGACAAAGGTTGGGGAGAGATGTCCAAAGTTACAACTGCAATTCTACTGGATCAGAAAAAACACTACGTTGTTTGGTATTCTGCCTCCAACAGTGGCCCCAAGTATAGGTTGAAAACCCCATCCCCCACTTAGCTGCTGGAGTTCACTGCCCTAGAGAGTGAATTGTGTCATTCTAGTTACTATCCCTCAACAGACCTGTTCATAAACTTGTCTAATGGCCTATGGGAGCTATCTCAGCCAATGAACACCACCCTATCTTGAGGCTGCAGTGAATTGTATAAGCTAATTGTGTGCTGTACGAAGGACCTTCCTCCTGTCAGTCCTGAGTCTCTTGTCCCTCAATTTAGTTGTACAAGTTCCACATTCTAATATTATGTAGCGGGGACTTACGCTCTGATTTCATCCTCTGGGTACAGGATAGCAGGAACTTTGTCTTCAATTTTTATTATCCGTACATTAGGATTCCGATAAATTGGATCCCTCAATGGAGGAAAAGCTGCGTAAACATCGTACCAGATAGGTTTCTTGGATTCAGGTACCAGCCCAGAGCGTAGCAAGTTCCGCATCCTGTGCAGTGTGGGGGAAGGAAAAATGCAAACAATATTATCCAAAAATAAAACTCAGCCATCCACTAAAAGCTACACACAGAAAAGTTACCACAAAAAGAGACAGTTAGTTCTGAACCTTTCCTTATTTCCTTCTGCCTATACAGTAATCACCTTACAAAATTAATAAATGTCAGTTTAATTTCTTATAAACCACCCAGAGCCTACAGGAATTGGGTGATATATAAATATTAAAATAAATAAATAAATATTGGTGTGTGTGGGGGGTGGAATCAAACCAATTGTTGGCTAAGAAGAAACCACTCTTCTGAAACAGTAGTCTTACTAGCGATTTGCTGAGAATGATTTATTTATTTGATTCCTATCCCTTTTTCCTTCTTTTTAAAAAGAAGTCAAAACAGCTCACATAACTCTCCTCTTTCTGCTCTAAATCTTATCCCTACAACAACCCTGTGAGATTCAGCTTGTTATCTACAACATGTACATCCATATATGCCCAATGCCCAACCGCCACTTGAGATCTGCGGGAGAGGCCCTTCTCCGGGAACCCTCTGTGAAAGAAATTAGGATGGTAGGTACTCGGAGGAGGGCTTTCTTTGCGGTGGCGCCCAGTCTATGGAATGCGCTCCCCAGAGAGGTCCGCCTGGCGCCGTCGTTATTTGTTTTTCAGCGCCAGGCGAAGACCTTTTTATTCAAGCAGCATTTTAATTGTTAACAATATTTACTTATCTGGCCAGAGCGACTTCTTTTCTTTTCTTTTATAACTTTTCTTTTATAACTTCTTTTATATCGTTTGTATTTATTTATTTTATATTATTAATTTTAATTTTATATTGTTATTTTTGTATTGTATTGTATTTTATTGTGTTGTAAGCCGCCCCGAGGCTTCGGCAAGGGGCGGCATAGAAACGTTCTATTAATAATAATAATAATAATAATAATAATATACATCTGTCCAAACCTTAAGACCATCTGCTGCGCTCATTCCCCAGGAGCCCTCTTTGAAAGAGGACAGGAGAGAGGCTACTTGGAGAAGGGCTTTTTCAGTGGTAGCACCTCAACTATGGAATCTGTTCTCTGGAGAGGTGCGCCGGGCACCAACTTTTTATTCTTTTTGGTCCCAGGCCAAGACCTTTTTATTGGCCCAGTATCTTAATGGTTAGAATGTTGTGTTTAGAATGTAGAATTTAGAATGTAGGTTGCGTTTTATTCAAGTGCTGCTGTGACTTTTGCTATTTTATTCTATTTTAAGAGATCCTGACTGAAAGAAGGCAGGATACAAACGTTTTAAACAATTAAATAAATTACACGGATGGGGGAGTGGGTTATCCGAGCAATTGTCCAGTAGCTTTCTACTTGGTTTAACTTGAACGGGTTTTGAATGGCTTATAATTTGCAAACGTTATTTTTTCCCTTATGTTTCTGTATTGGCTTTGATCTTTTTTTTTTTACGAATTGTTGTAACCATATGGAAACATTCTGGTGTGGGTGCTTCCATGTAACTTTCTGGCAAGCGTCCGTGGCAGAAAGCAGAACAAGACCTTCGTTCTGATTCTGTCCTTCCTAACCTGGAGCCTCCAACTCCAGAGCCCACTTGCGGCGCCGAGCGAAGCTGATGGGAACTGAAGTCAAAGCACCTGGAGAAGGCCAGGGTGGGGAAGGCTGCTCCAGTTCATGCATTGCCTCCGTATACCCCACCTCACGTCGAGCCCAGAGCCCAGAAGTTTCCCCTCGGTTCTCGCACAACACCCGCCACCCCGGAAAGCCCGCGGCCGCCTCTCCTCACAGGCCCTGCCCGCCGAAGGGCCGAGCGGAGGACGCACCGCCCTCACCGGGTGAAGATGGTGCCGAGCTTCTCCAACCTGCTCCCGGCCATGGCGCCTTCGCCCTCCACCAGGCCTCTCCTAGCAACCCAGCACAGAACCTAGCAACCCGAGCAACCCGGAAACGGAAGGATGAAGTCTCGCGAGACGGCCGGGCCACGAACGCGACCGCGACGCAGCGGAGGGGGAGCAGTTGCAAACCGACGCGCGGGGAGAGCGGATTAGCGAGACAGGCAGGAGCAATCGCTGGGAGAGCGCGGCCAACTTGGCTGGGGGTTTTCTCCTTGCGAGACCCTCCGTTCGCGCGTAGGCGAAATCAGAGGCGGTGGAGAAGACAATTGGCTTTTCATTTTGAGTTCTGGCCTGGGATCGGTTTGCCGCATTGGGGCTCAGCCATGGGATACGTGATTGACAGCATGATCCTATGCCTACTTTGCAGAGAAGCGAGCACCACTGCGTTCAACAGGGCTCACTCTTCCTGAATTTAAAAAGAAATCTTTCTTCTTTTAAATCGCTTTAGCCAGAAGGCTCCCAAGATGGATGTTGTAAGGCAGACCCTAGTCCTCAGACTTACGTTCTAAGAGACATGATGCAAGGAAAAAGGGTGGGGAGGAAGGAGGAAAATAGAAGCACCATACAGATAAAATCCAGATTCACCCTGGCTGCAAATTAAAACCTATAGATGATATTAAAAGTTATTAAAATATTGTTTAAATAAAAAGGTCTTAGCCTGACGCCGAAAAACAAATAACGACAGCGCCAGGCACTACACAAACCACTCTAGCTGGCCCCGTAACAAGCCACCCTGGTTTATAAACTGCCAGGGCTTAGCTTGTTGTATAAATCTAGGTTGATTGTATGTTGTCAATAAATGGTGGGTTGTTGGGTGGACCCAGTGACACGAACAAACCATGGTGTGTTAACCATGAACCACCCACAAAGAGGTTTGTTTTGGGGCTGTAAACTATGGACTGTTCATGCTGAACAAACCATGGTTTGTTAGCACAGGTGAGTTTTCACAGCACAATGGCTCATGACTGAATAACATCTCAAATTCAATTAATAGTTGAGGTGTACTCTGGCCTGTTGTGTTTGTGTGAACCAGGTCAACAACTGGATGAAATATCTCAAGCTAGAGGCAGACTTGATAAGTCAGAGCACAACTTACCTTACTGCACAGACATGGAATAAATTGCAAGCAATACTGGCTTGCCTTAGTTTCCTCCCATCTGTAGACAACATTTAATTGAAATGACTACATTTTATACTGGAGGATGTATGAATATGGTATTTTATAGGAAGGCTTCTGATAAGTATTTCCTCTCATAACCTATTTTGCTTTTCTGTAAGAAACCCAAAGCCACTAACAGAAAAAAAAAATCAGTATTTAATCATCTTTCTATACTTCCCAATAACAAAAAGTCTCTGGGCACTTCAAAACCCTTAAAAGCAAAAAATACAGGACAATAAAAAAGAATATATAAAAATGTATAAGCTTAAACTGCAATGTAAAAAAATAGAAAGTGTAAGAAAAAAGAATGGAGGGGCAGCATGAAAATTTAAAATGCAGTACCAGGTTTGAAACAGAAACTGAAAAATTGCTGGGGGAAAGAAAAAGGCTTTCTGTTTCGTTGATCTTATCCAAGTTTGATATTGCAACCCAGCAGGCCAGGGGGCAAAACATGGCCAGTAACCCCCCCCACCCCCACACACACAAGCTTTGAATTGAAGCCAGTCAATTAATTCAGCCTTCCCGATGTGTTGGACTACACCCTCCATCAACTCAGCCATAGCGGCTGCGCATGAAAGAAGTTGTAGTCCAGAGTGTCAGAAGGTTCCAGACTGAGGAAGGTTTAATTAGTTTATTGATCCATAAGGTCTAAGAACAATGTTCATGTCAAAAACACAATTAACTTAGAGACAGGCTCTTTTTGTAATTTTTTTGTTCTGCAATTAGGTATTCATTGCATTTTAATGGATTGCCTTAATCAGATTTAACTGGTTTAGTAAGTCACCTTGAGTGCCATCTTCGGTACAAAGGCAAGGAACAAACGCATCGCCGGGGGCAGGTATAACTGGATGCTCGCCGAGGGTCCCAACCCTCGCAGGGCCACTCCGGGTTTGCGCCTCCTCTTCGCCCCTGCAACCTGCTTGTGTCCCTGCCTCCCACTGTGGCTCAGACACTGGCGCTGGAGAGGAAAAGGACCAGCTGATGCGGCAACCTCGCCGCTCACTGCCACTTGCCTGTCGCACAAGCAAGTGGAAGGGCAGATGAAACGGGAGGGCGCCCTGCTGAGGATGCAAGAGAGCTCTCCAAACCCAGGAGCTGCCAGTGTTGTCCCTGGACTCCCCGTTCTCTTCTTTCCCTTGGATTTTGGAGAAATCCTGCTGCAGGGATGGATTAGGAGTCCTGCATCCATTTACTTCCTAGATACTTGCGAGCAGGGCCAGTGTCAACGGCAGGCCTGGTTGGGCACCAGTCACTGGACTCCTGCTGGGATGGGGGCAAAGGAGCCTCGGGGCTGCCCCTGCCCTACACGGTCAGGACCTGCCTCTCCCTTGATCCTGGAGATGGTAGAAGAGCAGCTGAAGCCCCAGCATCTCTGCTCTCTGGCCGCAAGTGACCACCAAGACGAGGATCTCCCAAAACCTTCCTCGGTTTGTTGCCTGCATGCCACATTCCAGGGCTGGGGACAAGAGCACAAACGGGTTGTGCTGGGACCAGCACCGTTCCCCAGTTCAGCGCCATGTCCAAAAAGGACAGGCGAGCAGACGCAGTGCCATGAGCAGCCGCTGCTTTGCTCTTCCAATGAGGAGGAGAACAGATCTGCAGAAGCTGGGGGGTGGGGGCAGGCGCCGCAGCCGCCGCTCCACACGTCTTGCAACTTAACGCAAATTAAAGTCCTTAAGCTCCGACCATATGGCCAAGAAAGCTGCCCAGATGGCTTCAGAACCTCAAAGGCCTGGCAAGGCTTCCGTCAGCTTTGATGCCTTGCTAGAAACATAAATAAATGTGGACGTTTGTGCAGCTTTCCTAGCGTGCTTCGTAGCAACGTTCTCAGTGGTAGAAGGCGCTGTTACTGATGGCCCGTTCTTTTCTTCCTCTTGGCTTTTTGTTTCGCCCAGTGCTGAAGGCACTCTGTTGTTGGGTCTCAGAGGTGCAGAGTCGCTTGCTTCTGTGTTGCTGGGTTTTGATGGATCCACTGTGCCTGCCAGGACAAAGATGGGGAAACAGCTGTTCACTCTTAGTCCATTGGACTACATTTCCCAACATTACCAAGGCATGCTTGTAATCTGGCACATTCGTGGGGTGGTGAGGGAAGCTAATACTGTATTCTTCGCTTGCTGGCTTGTTGGCATTCAGGTTGCCTCTTTAGATATATTATAGAAACTTCTTAATTCTCCTGTCCTTCCTCCCTCTCTGGAGGAGCTGTCCCCAGGAATATCCCAAAGTTTGCGGAAATGTGTCAGGTGCAGCGACACCACAAGCAGCCTTTTTTAGTGCCAGGATGAAGGTCTGTCTTCTCTCCATCTAGCCCCTCTGAACTGCCAAACTTGACTGGTTGTAGCTTCCTTAAAAGTATGAATGTAAGAGTGTTTAATCGGGTGATTATTTTCATCAGAATGTTTTATCAGCTAGCAATCAAGAACCGAGCTATTAAATCTGCCCACTCATTAAATTCCCACCATGGCCGCTGCCTGAGGTACAGTCCGTGAGGCAGGGCCTCGCTGGTCATGGCACCACAGCACGTGGAACTTGTTTTCAAGGAAAGTGCCTTTTACTCCTCTGTTGGCTTCCACACATGGCAAGGTAAAATGGGACTCTTTTAAGATTGCTTTCGGAGGCCTGTGGTGCAATCCTGTGCGTGTGTGGCTAGAAAAAAGGCCTGCTTGGAATTGCAGTATCCGTGGTAGCAACACTTTGGGGTGCATGTGAAACATTTCACCAATGCAGGAAGGAGCTGCATCAAGGCTGTTTTGTTTTTAAAGCCGACTCTTGCCAGTGACACTTTGACTGATTGTATTTATGTATTTAATGGACTTACATATTGAATATGGGACTAAATAATAAGATTGGGCAATGCAAACTCAAAACCAACATGTCAAAACTTTTTTTTTCCTTTTTCAGGAAGGGGAGATGCAAGTAAACATAGGAGCAGCTTAAAACTGCAAGGGAGATAATGTGTTACTACAGTGTCGATTTCAGGATTAGTCATATTATCCACCCTCTCAGAACCTCAGAGTGGCAGTCCCCCCACCATTTTATCCTCACAACAGCCCTTTGAGGTTGGTTCAGCAGAGGCAAAACTGAATGGACCAGAATCACAGAGCCTCAAGTCTGGCTTGGGAGAAAATCTTGCAGGAGTCTTCTCTCCCCAGACCTGCACCAGGAGAGGAAAAGAGTTCATCTGAACATAATGCAGGGAATCTATTCCCACAAATCTCCTGTATTTTTATGCAGCTTGGAAACCCTCATGGTCTTATATGGCTGCATTTTCAAGTTTGCTGGGTTTTTACATTATCTTTTACACAATTCAGTGAAGGCTGGCACTTTCCAGATGCACCCACCAGATGGCAGCAAATGTAATGCTTCCCAGTATGGTTTGCATTCCACCAGCTGTCCACAGTCCCTTTTGATTCATGTGCCGGAACACCTACACCAAGGTTACTGCAAGGAGCCAGCAGTCTTTTCATAGTTCCACGATTTCCACGAATTGTTTTCTGTGAGGACCATCTGTAGGAACACCATGCGATTAGCTTTAGAGATCTGCGTTGTTCTAATTACAGGTGGGCTGACACAAGAACCACCTTCTGCATCAGAAATGGAAATTGGCCTGTCCTTAAGGCAACATTGCCAACGTGGAAGAGCCTGGAGTTCAACGTCTTTGCAATTCCTTGTTCATTCACAGGGCAATCCTGAACACATTTGCTCTGAAAAAGTCCCATGGTTTCATCTGGGTGAACGCCCTTCAAAGACGCAGTCCTTTGAGAGCAAAAAGACCGGTAACTGGCTGGCAGGCACTTTAGCTGGCTGGGAGCAGCGATGAATGGGGAAGAGGAGCAGGCGATCCCAGTTTCCTTGCCACCAGCTGTGAGGCGGAAGAGGAGTTGTTGCAACTGCTGGGCAGTTACCACAGAGTTGGGGAACCTCTTTCAGTTCTGAGAAGCTCCGAAGGCTGCATTCCAGTGGGAATGAGAGGGCTGGCAAAAATATAAGCAGCTGCCTTTGCAAAAGGGTCAAGCCCAAGGAAGATAAATGCGTGCAGCATTTCACTGCTGGTCCTAAACTGAGAGATCCCGTCCTCCACGGCTAGTGAGGAAAACAAGAATGGCTGAGAAAGCCTGGTGCAATTTGACCCTTTCCATTATCCCCGCATGGCTCCTCTTCTATTCTTATCTCTCTATGGCTCTGCTGGAAATTGCACACCACAACTAAGCTTACATAGAGAAGGAAGCTCCATTAGGCAGACATCTTGCTCCCCGAGGAGCAAGAAATGGTATGCAGCTTCCTGCAGCAAGGGGCATCCTGCTCAAGGCCAGCCCAGTGAACTTGAGCCGTTGAGTGGGGAAATCTATTTTTCTCCTCCCTTGGTATAAAAGATACGGTTTAGAAAATAATTCCGCCGTTGCCCCCTTTCAGAAGGACACGCTGCGGAGGGGGTCTCCTAACTTTGCTAGAGGTAGGGCTGGTGAGACAAACTCCCTTTCCCCCTCTGCAATCCTGCCAGAAGGCTTTAGGCAGCTGCTATTTTTCAGTCAAGACCCAGCTTCTCGCCCACATTACAGGCGTTAAATTTAACACGGCAAAGCTAGGAGGATCGTGTTCCAGTGACTGCTGTTGTGAGTGCAAACCGCACTTCTCTCCTCTTGCTTCCCACTGAAATGCCACAGATGGCCATGTGTTCCCTGCACTTTGGCCCATGCTGTTTATTTTTAACTCCTGTCCACATACGAACCTTTGTCAAGATGTTTTGCATCTGAAAAGTGGACTCTGCTTCATGAAGACATCTGTCACAAGTCTTGAAGTTGTCACATGTGGTCTTTTTGGGCCAGTGGGCAAATTTGAAACATCAAGTGTCTTCCGCACATTCACAAAATGGCCATCATGCCGGGTATCCATAGCTGTGCCCATTTCCCAGAATGCAAACTTGTAAGGCTAAAAGAAAAGGATAGTCATCCCCCCACAAGAGCTACAACCACCAACAACGCTCTTCTGAATCCGCAACCTTCTGCTCAGGGACCCATTTCACAGAAGGCAAACTAGCCATGTTCTCGACCACCCTTCAGCTTCTCTTGGTCTGTTTCTGGGGTGCTAGAAAACTTCAAATCAAAACACCAGCTTGCAGCTCCCCAAGATGGCTATTTTCTAAGATTGCATCTGGAGCTGCCTTATACGTCATGCCAACCTCCCAGTTTTTAACTGAAACACACGCCCGCAAGACAGTTTTCAGAAGAATCCAGGGAAGCATCAACAGGCTTGTTCCATGTTCCACAAGTCCCAAGCTAGCAGTCAGCTGTAAATCCAGCTTTAGCCTCTCCAAAATATCTGAGCTGAATTTGTGGTTTGCTGCCCACAATGGAGCAACAGACTCAACATGCGAACACAACCAGCCACAGTGAAGAAACACAAAGCAAAAACATTTAAGAGAGTACAACGTGACTTTATTATATGAATTACTATTAAACATTTTTAAAAAATTGTGTATGCAAATAAATTCTAAAATTGCAACACACACACACACATCACAGAAGTCTTTGTTGCTGTTGGTTGCTTTCCTTTTTTTAAAAAAAGTTTTTTTTTTTAAAGAAAGCAATACAAACATTATGAAGGATTGTACATTGTTTGAAAGGAAGGATGCAGCCCAGCTTTTGAGCCCATCTTGGTGGCATTTAAGATGCATTTACATCAGAGTTGGAAATCGGAAAAGAACAGCCTTTCTCAGGCATGTATTCCAAGGGCATGTCCAAATGGCTGAAGAGTTTGACCCAGCTGCAAGATTTCAAACCGTTCTGTCTCTGCCCATCTCTAAATGACTAAATGATTTCAAAATGTCACCAAGGGGCTTTTATTCTATCTGGCCTTCTGGAAAAATTGGAGAATTCTGCTTTGGCCACAATGGTGTTCCTACTTTTTAAGATGCCGCATGACTTTTGCACTTTTTAGGGTTGGAACAAGGTCATACAGAGCCACCTCAGTGTGGCTTAAAATAACATCCATGTTGCTGTGAATGACTGCCGAGACTTGGGAAATGGAGTTGTGGAACCAGGGGCTCACAGGATTCATGGACTGGTACTTTTTCCTTAGTGAGGACTTGATGTCATCTGTCACCTCTTCAGAATTCCCCTTTTCCTCTGAGCTTAGCTTTAATTTTCACATAGCCGGAGGAGGACGGGAGAGAAGTATTTCCAACAGTACTATACTGGTTCTTGTTATCCTGCAAGTTACTCTGGAGTGATCTGGACTTGAACAAGCTGTTAAGGCCCACTGGATTCAGACAAACCACATTCAAGGGTATTGTGATTATTGTGTTGCCTGAACCCAACTGGGTAAGCAGGCCACGGCTTGTTAATCACAAACAGCCCATGAAGAGAACCTGTGGTTTGTTGGGTTGTGAGTCATTCTCAAGAGTTTGTTATCTGAGCTGGGTTCAGACAATGCAACAACCTACCTTTCAACAATAACCCATGATTAAATGACAACCCACACTCAAAGGCCGAGTTGCTGTCTGAACGCAGTCACTAGCTTCACAAAAGATCTGTTCCCAGGATAGATGAAAACTGGCTTGCCACAGCTGCCTCAATTTTTGGTCCTTCCTGGAGGGGGTTGCTCTGATAGGATGAGTACCTGCACTTCAACATGTATCGCTATACCTTGGACCTGATCCAAACTGGCCTTGTGAAGCATCACAAAAATGCATGTTCTCATCTGTGCTGGGGCTTCCTTTGGAAATAGCGGGAGCGCACAGGGCAGGGATGTGGGAGAAGTGACACAGACACCATGTCTGTAGCCAGGAGGACTCCTGATCGTGCCTTTCCTGGATCAGGACTCATGGCGCAACCACACAGACTCCTGGGAATCCCCGTGGATCGGGTGACGTCAGACGAACAGCATTCATAGCCAGACATCAATTAATCGTTGCTTCAAGGCCGGATACGGAGGAGATAAAATGGCATGGCAAACAGAAGCAGCAGCAGCAGCAGCCCAAGCCTGGGTGCAGAAGGATCGCCATACAAGCTGATGAACACAAGAAAACCCCTCCTGAATTAGACCATGCATTTCTCCAGGCGAGCTTTCTGCCCACTGCTGTCCAAGAAGCAGTACCTGAGCGCAAGAGCACCCTCACGCCCATGTTCCCCAGCACCTTGTGTACATGGGGATATTGCCTCTAATGCTGGAGTAGCATATGGGCATTTGGACCATGAGCCCCAGATCGCCTTCTCCTCCGGGATTTTGTTCGGTCCCTTTTTAAAGCCATGCAACTTGGAGCCCATCCTTAAATCTTGTGGCAACTGAAAGAACAGAATTGTTCCCGAGGACCAAAAACAAGGGTCAGTTGCTTAATGGTACGTCAGAGAGACACAAGCGGGTCAAAAATATAACATAAACCTCTGCCAAGGAGGTCAGAATTCGTAAAAATAAGCCTGGAGGCAGATGTTTTGACACAAAATATCCTAAAAGGAAGTGTGGGTCAAGATAACCGTGTACAAAAGTAACGGAATGTTTCCTCTTGATGATGTTCTCCCTGTTCAATGGATGTGTCCTGCTTTTATTGAGTAATGTTTCCTGCTCTGATGTTTTCTGTTACCACTCATGATAAAAATGTGCCGGGAGCATCGCTGTGGCAGTTGCTCCTCGCTGGAGATGGGTTTGTCCTCTATGGCTTATGGCGCACATTCAAGAGTCCTTTTATATATATATATAGAATGACTTGCTGTTGTTGCTTCTCCCTTTCACGGTCACATGACGAACAAGAGGGGTTTTTTTTTTTTTTGGCCTCAACACGAAGAATTCCACAGCTTCGCTAAGTGCTGAGCGAAGAGCATCCTTCCCTTTCTCTGTCCTGAATCTACCGCCATCGGCTTCCTGGAGTGACCTCGCTGGGTTTCGGTGTCCCGAGAGAAAGCGAGCTCTCCCTCCCCGCTTTCTCCATGCCGTGCATGATTCTGCAGACCCCTCTCATGTCTCCCCTCACTCTACTTTTTCCTAAGCAAAGCGACCCAGATGTTGTCGCCTTCCCTCACAGGGGAACTGCCCCAGCCCCAAGGGCCAGGGAGACAGAGCAAACATGGCGTTGGGACTGGCTGAGCAGAGGGGTCAGCTCCTGGAAGGTCCTGGGTCACATCCGCCCTCCCACATGAAAATAGCATCTGCATCCCGGGGCCAATCCAGGGGCAAGGAAGAAGCTGGGGCTTTTATCTAGCCTGTTGGACTACAACTCCCATTCATTCCCAGCAGGAAATGTCCCATGAGTCTGAAGGGCACTGGGTTGGGGAAGGCTATGGTAAGGCTTTGCAACAACCCATTTTGGGATAGTAAACGGCCAAATGGACAACTGGTTATAATAAATTTCTTTCCTGCCTCCTTTCTGCAAGGAACCAAATCCGCTTCTGCCTCTCCATTTTATCCTCACAGCAACCCTGTGAGGTAGGCCAGGCTAAGAATCAGTGGCTTGCCCAGTGAATTTCATGGCTGAATAAGGAATCTCCTGAATCCCAGTCCAATACTCCAACTGCTGCTCTGAAACTGGTCTCCAGCTAAAAGGAGGTGAAATGCTACAGCAAAGGCCTACTCTTCTGTATTACCATAAGAGGAATGCCTTCCTCTTTTCACACCCCTTTTCTTCTTGCTTGGAGAAGGGGTGCTGCATTGCATGCTAGACACGAAAGGCACAGACGCCTCTCTTCTGAGGATGGACACGTGTCCACCTGCCCTTGTCGCCCGATCCCCCGCGTTTGCGAAGCAGCCACTCTGTAGCAAGCAACTCCTAGTAAACACGCACTCGCTCCTCAGGCCTAGGTGATGGGTGTTCTTGCCAGCTGCAAATTAAAGGGAAAAAACCCTTATGGAAAAGTCTCAAAAGCGAACCCTGTGAAGCGGCCACCAAACACTGGAACTTTCAAAGCAGCGGCTCCAATTGCAAAAGCTGAGCTCTTTCCAAGGGTTTAAAGAAAGCAGCTCCGGGGAAGAAGCGAGAGCAGCTGGCTGCTTGTTCGACTGGCAATGACAGAGGAGGGAGCGAGGGGGTACGAGTGCACCCTGGTTCTGCGGCAGTTTCTTTCCTGTGGCGATCGCTGGGTTTGTCCTAAGCAACTTGCACACTTTCTAACTGGGAGAAGAGGGTTTTATGCAAAGGCTCTGTGTGCCTCTGCAGGCTTTCCTGATTTGCTTCCCAAAAAAGGGAACTATTAATGTCTGGCTGCCTCTACAGTTTGAAGTTCTTTTTAAGCAACAGCATTTCACAACGGTGTGGAAACTTGGACCTCGTCCCAGGCCGAGCTGCAGAGTCCAAGTGGCTGAACTTTTGTCTAAGTTGCGCTGACGTCACTTTTGCCCTGCAAAGAACACAGCCCTTCATTCAGGGTTCCCCCTACCCCTCCCTCTTGCTTAAGCCTCACTGATCTCTCTGTGCTTTAAAGCAACAGACAATCTCACCAAACCCTGCCAAAAATTTGGCATCTGATAGCCACATTTTTGAAAATACAAACACCAAGCGGTAAGAACTGTATTGGCAATATGATTCCAGAGAGCAAGACAAAGGAGCATTTCAAACAAACCTTGGGCACCACAGAAACTTGATACAAGATCAGACTGTGTCTGTTGATCCCTAGTACCTGCTCAGCAAGGTCTGAAAGGACCAGCAAGACCAAGATCCTCACCTTTCCTAGCTTTGATTGTTACTAGCAGTTGATACAAACAGACATCATCCATAGAAGGGCAAGCAGTGAAATAGCCATGGCAGCTTTTAGCTCACAGTTTCAGGATTATTAGTGCCATCCTGACTCAAGGTAGAGATTTAAAGTGGCACCCAACATGTGAACCCAAAACAAAAGGGTTGTCTAGGGGCTAAACAACCCAGTGGTTAACCCATGGTTCATTGTTGTGTTAACTACTAAGTTTTTAGACCCTAAGCAACCCAACCACCTAGCTTTGCATGTGAGTCTCACTACCTCCAATCAAGCTGACAGGTTGTTCACGGAAAACAAAAGGGGCTTTTAGGAGGTGCACTTCCCCCATAAATCAATAAATCCTTGATTAATTAACCCATGATGAGAGAACTGGCCCTTAGTCAGGCTGTTGTTCTAACCAGTCAAATATTTTGGCGACAGTAATCAAAGGTCTTAGGCAAAACCTTCTATCCAGAGACGCTACGATCTGAATCTGCCACTGAGCTATAGAATCCTATCGTTCAAGTCTTTTCATCCCCGAAGACAATGACAAAAGAGGCGCTACCTGGAAACTGCGATTGCCGAGGGCTCCCTCATCGTACTGTAAACCGAGTGTGGGATGAATCAACTGCAACCCTTCAACTGCTTTGCATGCGAAGGGCCCCTTCACACTTGCTTTTCTGAGGCAAACTCTGATAACTCGGACCACATGCACAGGCCCAATTCGGTGCATCATTTCTACTCAACTGCCAGGCTGTCAAAGATGACCTCATCCACGTGGGGAAAAAACAACAGGTTCTCATGCCAATGTCCTTCAGGAGACCCAATTAACAGAAACACAAAGGGGGGGGGGGATACACAGAATACACTCCTTCACACCAATGCTATCTTTCACTCTTACCTCTGAGCAATAAGAATACTAAGCTAGAAGAGGAATCACGCTGACACCATGAGGGGGGAAGTGACCAAAGGTGGGCAAACATCAATTTTAAGTTGCTTTTTTCAAACAAGCATCAATCGACCAATGAAATGATGAATCCATCATAAAACATTTTTCTGGTGGCGACAGGGATTGGCAGAAATGCCTTTTCATGTAGAGAAGCTTATTATATTCTGATAATGGATAACCAGATATCTTGATTTGGGCATATCTTCTATTAGCAGCAATAATTATATAATTATAATTATAATAATAATATAACATAAAATAATACTATGAACAATACATCAACATTGTGAAGCCATTCTGTAACTGGTCACACGTATCTGTTAGTTAAGGAGATATGGTTTGAAAATGTCAGGCCAAAATCCACTTTTGAGTATTATTTTTCATTCATACATCTGAACAGCACTGTATGACAAAGAAAGACAGGGCTTTGACCCATCTGTAGCTTGAAAGTCATTCTCCAGCTGCAAAGACTGTTGTAGAAAAAATCAGGGAAGATGTTAATTTTATCTCTACCCTGCTGTGTGTGTTTTTTTTCTGAATTCCTCAGATTGGAGAACACGGAGGGGAAAAAACCCTCTGGAACTGTTTTCAAACCCGTTGGTAAGAAAGCATCGTGTGCCTTGATATAATGCTTCTAGTTCAGGAACTGACAACGCAAGCACCAGCCCCAAATTCATCTTCCTTGTCAGCCATCTTCTGACTCTCACCTTATTTACCTGCTCTTTTTTTGAAAGAACTGCCAGCTCGGGGTCTAAAAGGAGAAAAAAAGGAAAGGGGCTATGAACAGTCATGAAAATTTATTTTATAATTTACATTCCACCTGTTCTCACAAAGAGAACGAGATGGCTAACAGCCTGTATAAAAAACACAGCACCTCAGCAAGCAACATAAAAATCACATCTCCAATCACAACTATAATATAAAGCCATTAATATAATCAATGGGCATATAAAGAATTTGCGTATGTCTCAAAAACCGGTACAGTTCGACATGTTTGTAACAGGTACCAAAATTATTATTATTATTATTATTATTATTATTA